TACCCCCTATAATTTTGTTAAAGAAATAAATAGAGCTGAAAAACAATTTAATACCTTTTATTAAACTTTACTACCCTAAATTAGGTATCAATGTTATGCCCCCCCCCCCCCCCCCCCAAACCAACCAAGACGCGTTGTACTTTGCATTTTGTAAAAAAAAATTGGATCAACAACAACACTCCACTTAGTATTTTTTCAAAAGTAAGGGAGTTGATCCTAATTTTGCGGGTTTGAATCCCACTGTGGGACGTGAAGACTGGTCCTTCTAATGAGACCGTTTAAACCAAGGGCCAATGTCCCAATAGATGCTGGTACAAATGGATCCCTCACTGCTCAATGGTCGTCAGTGCATAGTATGAGAAAAAACTCTTCACGGGCAAGCCTTCATATGAGCAAAATATTCATGAGAGGGAATTTAAAGAAGACACGTTGTACTATCAATCTTTGACATGTTTATCGTCCCTCTAGAATTTATCTCTCATGAGATATTACCATTACCAGAGATGTTCCTGCCGCGAGGGGATGCTCCGCTTAGCGGTGCCCTTGTTGTAATAGATATCTATCCATTAACAGGTCGAAACAATAAATTGTTACTACATGACGGTGTGAATTTCTGAACTGACCAAGTGCAACATTTCGACACACAGGGAACATGCCGCCACCCGAAGAGTCAAAAGATCCTGAGCTATAGGGCAAGAAACGTCGACGTTCAACGCAAAAGGGCAAGTTTCACAGAATATACAACAGATTTAGAGAATTAGGTTATATGGAGGACCATGGTGTACTACAAAATATTCTTGGTGATCTAGAAACGTCCTATAATGATTTAGAAAGAAGTCATGCAGAATATGTAGAACTTTCGCACCGTTAGCTGCAATCCATATCAAATAATATGTTTGATAACTTCGCAAGATGAATATATAGTCATTTACTTCCACTGTGACGCGATTTTGTTTCTAAACAATTGCAATACGACAAAACGAAATTCGTTAATTTTTCGGTAAAAAGTGAAATCAGATTAAGAAAACTCATTTAAAACAAATTACAAATAAAAATTACTCCAAAAATTATTTTTTTATGGCTTAAAATAGCAATGCTGTTTTTGATTTATCCACTTCTGGCAGGCCAATCCCACTTCCGGTAGCATTACTAGCATTGACCTAGTTTCAAACCAGCATCACGATAAGGATCAAACCAGGATCAGGATAAGGACAACTAGCATCAAAATCAGCAAGAAAAGGGAGCATCAAAATCAGCATTGATGCTGTAACAAAAATATTTCCCTGCACTTTATTATACATCGGGTTTGATATCTGATTATTGAATTTGCTGATTTTTCGCGTGATTGCAGGTAGATCCAGGGATATGAGTACAACATTTTTCGCCACACTTCATGTTATGAGTTTCTGGTTTTTTTCCGTAAATGGCTTTAATTTTATATCAAAGTGCAGAAAATGACTTCATGATGGTATGTGACTGGAGATCTTGTGTGTTATATAGTGGGTGCAGAGAAGTCGTGTTTCAATTTTTTGAAGCATCATCAGCCATTGATTTAAGATGCAGTAATTCTATCCGCAGAATTTTCATTGCGGAATGTGATGGTGTTTGCACAAATCTTGAAAGAATTCTAATTAGAGATCGAGTCATCCTGTGCAGATATTTTGAGGGGATTTGAAATGTGTATGATATTTATCTGTGTATATTGTTCATCGTGTGACATTCTTCATGTTTTCATTTTGTAACTGTTATTTCTTTAGTAGTTTCCCCTTAGCCTTCCCGCTAGCAGAAGGTTTTCGGAAATTGACTCGAAGATTACCACCACAATGAGATAATCCTCATCTCAGGACGTTAAGGTTAAGGTGCAGTTTATCAACTATCTGCATTTATTAGTAAAATTTACTTCTCTAAATTCACATTGTGTAAGTATTTTTGTGGCCATGTGCTTGTATCTGTGTATATTATTCATCATATGACATTCTATATTCTTTACGAGTGTCCCCCTAGCCTGCCTACTAGTTTCTCACCAAGATAACCACCACCACAAGAGAATCACAACCACAAGATAACCACCACCACAAGAGAATCCCCCGCCCAGGATGTTAAGGTTGGTGTAGAAGGTGATTCAAATTAATTCATTACGAAATGATTTAAATGTTCTTAAAGCTAACTTGATATATTAGTTTTTTCAACCCTATCGTTAATCTAACAATGTAAAGGTATAGTTTCATACATTGGTATTATATTAATCTCTTAATTTATCTAACCTACATTATGCAATTGTTTATCAATAGTTATATCTCAGTGTTAGTTGTGAATATCACAAAAAGTTAAGTAAGCGATGGTCATGAATTGTGTTATTATGCAACTTTTTTATGTTTCAACCATCTAAGACTACCGAATATGTTAAAAAGTGCCTTATAATCTTACTTCTTTTATGATTTTTTTTTAGTTATTTTAAATATTTCAGCCACCTCCGACATTGGATACAACACCAAATGCGGATACATCGACTGTGGATACAACATCGACTACGGATACAACAGTAACCATTAGTAGTATAAGGAGCCTAGATGGCCGGGTCAAATGAGTGCACTTTTCTGGATGATAGGGATAGCCGGGTCAACTGAGTGCAGCCCCTTTTCGGGGATAGCCGGTTCAACTGAGTGCAGCCCGTGGGGGGATAGCCGGGTCAATAGAGTGCAGCCCCTGGGGGATAGCCTGGTCAATTCATTACATATAGCCCCCTAAATACGGGGTGTGTTTACACTGTGTTTTCATTATACTCTATACGCTGTTCCTACGATTTATACCTGTTGCATCATCTGTAAGGGCCCTGTGCAAACAATACGATAGACCTTCGTTTTTTTTATGCTGACTACACAGGTAATATAATTGGCAGCGATTCAAGTCAGGGGCCCGTGTGCAAAAAATATGCTTACCTATGCATTGTGACGTCATCCACTGTATAAATACGGCTTTTCTCTTACTTTCAGCTCATTCTACAGTCAGAGCCACCTCCCTGCCTGGGTAGGCATGGACTCTACTAAAGAAAAAACAGTTACGTGCTCAGCGATTATTAGAATGGAAAAAAGGGAAAGAGAATTAGAACGAATTCTTTATGAGAAAAGAGATCAAGAGTTAAAGCTCCGGGAAAAAATGCTAAAATATTACAGAGAAGAGCTCAATTAGAACAACAACGACAACGACAACTATGGGAAAGAGAATTAGATCAAATTCTTGATGAAAATAAAGAGCGAGAATTAAAGCTTCGGAAAAGAAATGCCAGACTATTACAGAGAAGAGCTCAACTAGAAAAACAACGACAGCAACAGCAAAGGACTAGGGCGCATGGGGGGTCAAAGTTACCTATTCATTCACCACCCAAACCCAAGGCCATATCCCAGTATTATCGATTGTTGATTGTACACTGTTTTACGTCCCGCTCCAGAATATTTCACTGATATGTAGACGTCACCATTCACAGTGAATAAAAGGGTGCACTCAAGAAAATTTAAAGCTCAAGAGGATTTTTACACTGTGATTTTTAAGGAGTTTCCAGAGGAAGAAAACAGAGGATTTGTTCAGCGATTATTCAGACACATGTTACAAACTTTCAAATCGAAAATGCAGTGTGATCCTAACGATTATCTCCGCCTGAACATACGCCACAAATCTCTGGAATCAGAATTTTGGTACGAGTTTACTTAATGTAAACATTTTACCGAGGACGTCATTTTAGACAAGATTGAAGCCGTGCAACAATCCAGAAAGGGTTTCAAACTGGTTGACGGGGGCATGAAATTAGATATGTTTCGGGTCAAGTATCCCGAGGGAAGTGGTGGAGACAGAACCCAGCATTTACAAGTGAATAAGGAGACTTATAAGAACAATAATAGAGCCATCGTTCGGATCGTCAATCCCAGGGATCAATTTTGTTTAGCTAGAGCCATCGTCGTGACTCGATTACACAGTCAAAAACCCGAACATCCAGACCCCGAATGGGATAAACAATGGAAATTAGGAGATGTAAGAGCCAATGACCAGAAGAACCTAGCCATAGCCCTCATGGAACAGGCCGAGTGTGATATCACTCAAGCTTGTGGATATGCAGAGTGGACGAAATTACAACAGGTATTAGCTCCTCAGTATCGACTGAAAATATTTCAGTTCAAGTCTACTTCGACTAAACTCACCTTAGAGCGCATTTTCAAAGGCTGGGGAGACGGAACTTCTTTGAACATTTTGTTAGACGACCATCATTACGATGCCATCATATCCATGCCGGGAGAAAAGGGGAACCAATATTACTGTGATCATTGCGACGTGGGGTACAGGAAGGTCACAGACCATCGCTCTAAGTGCCCTCATCGCTGTACCTATTGTTTAGGACATCACCCTTATTGTCCCGATGAAGGGATCGAGATTAAATGCCAGGAATGCCATGGAATGTTAAGAACAGGACCTGTTACGAAAATAATTTAAGACCCCATAGTAAGAAGACCACCACTACTGTCTGCAATTTAATGGAACAATGCGAGAAGTGTCAGTCCTGGATACCTAAGAATTTATTCCCTCATCACAAATGCAGAGGACAGAAACAGTGTAAGATCTGTAAGAAAATCGTCGATACCGATCATCAGTGCTACGTACAACAGAAGCCCCAGAAGAAGAAGAAGAAGAAGGGGAAAGACACCTTACAGTTTTACATCTATTTCGATTTCGAATGCACTCAGGAAACCGGCATTCACATCCCTAATCTGTGTGTGGCACACCGCGTCTGTCAACATTGCAATCAGTTAGACATAGACCAACCCTGTCCTCATTGTCAACACATGGGACCCCGTCAGCACCTATTTCAAGGACCAGACACCTTAAAGAAGTTCATAGACTGGTTATTACAACCCACTAGAGGTACTAGGAATTCCACTTTAGTACACGACGAGGTCATCGTCATCGCCCATAACTTCAAAGGCTACGACGGACAATTCATTTTGTATTACATGGTACATTCTGCCCCCATTAAACCTAACGTCATCATGAACGGCAGTAAGATCTTGTACATGGAAATATGCGGACTGAAATTCGTCGACTCGTATAATTTCTTACCGTTTGCATTAGCCAAGATGCCCTCCGCTTTCGGATTCGACGAATTGAGGAAAGGCTATTTCCCCCACTTTAATACGGAACAGAACCAGAATTACGTAGGACCTTATCCACCGGAAGCTTTCTACAATCCGGACGAAATGTCTATCAGTGGACGACGGGCATTTTTTGAATGGTACGAACAACAGAGGGGAAAATTATTTGATTTCCAGAAAGAGTTTGTAGAGTATTGTGTCTCGGACGTCGACATTTTGCACCGATGCTGTGTAAAGTTTAGAGCCACCCTTAAGACCTTATTCAATGTGGACCCTTTCCAGGAATCCATCACTTTTGCCACTGCTGCTAATTTAGCCTCCCGTCGACAATTCATGCCTGAAGACACCATTGCCATCATTCCTAACCTCGAGTATCAACCGGCACGACAATATTCGGCTAAAGCCTGTCGGTGGCTCACCTGGATTAGTCAACAGAGTGGATGTCACAAACAACATGCCAGAAACGGGGGCGATGTCCAGATTGCAAATTATACCGTCGACGTATACCAGGAAGCGACTCGCACCGTCTACGAATTTTACGGGTGCTATTGGCACGGATGCTCCACCTGCTATCCCAGTTTACAAACCGAACCTCATCCTCACCGGACCCAATATACTTGCCAGCAATTACACGAAGAAACCCTCAGAAGGACTTTGACTTTGGAGAAAATGGGGTATACCGTCCTTGGTATCTGGGAGCACGATTTCGATCAGCAAGTGCAAAAAGTTGCGAGTTTACAGCATTTTGTACGAGACCTGGACATTCCCGATCCTTTAAACCCTCGAGAAGCCCTGTACGGAGGTCGGACAAATGCCACTCGATTATATTGTGAGGAAGGGGACATGAGGTACATGGACGTTTGTTCACTATACCCTTACGTGTTGAAACACAGACCTTTTCCCTTAGGGCATCCCGAGATCATCACAGACGTGTTCCAGGACTTGAGAAATTATTTCGGTCTCATTCACTGTCGGGTCTTACTTCCCCGAGACCTCTATCACCCCGTATTACCTTATCGGACGGGAGGCAAGTTATTATTTCCCTTATGTCGCACGTGTGCCGAACGACAGGACTCTACTTTTCAAGATCGATGTCAACACACCGACCAGGAACGTAGTCTCACGGGTACTTAGGTGACGACCGAATTACATAAAGCCCTAGACATGGGATATACCATAGATCGAATCTACGAAGTATGGCATTTTAAAGAAAGCAGTCAAGAGTTATTCAGATCTTACATCGATACCTTCCTCAAGATCAAACAGGAAGCGTCCGGATTTCCCCCGGACTGTAAGACCTCAGAACAAGAACAAGATTACATTCGACAAGTGTTATACAAAGAAGGATTCATGATGGACATTCTCAGTATCGAGAAGAATCCAGTGAGAAGAACCACTGCTTAACTCTTTTTAAATTGTCTGTGGGGAAAATTTGCTCAACGCTTGTTATTACCCAAAACCAGATACTTGGACGTAGAAGAGGAATAACAGCAACTCTTACAAGATTCGACTCTCGACATCAAGGGCATGCAACTCTAAGACAATAAAGAGAACACCAATGAAGACAAGATTCTAGTGAATTGTCAAGACAAACAGGAATTCGTCGAAGAATGTCCCTTTTGAAACGTGGTCCTGGCTTGTTTAACCACCGCACATGCTCGCTTACACCTCTACGAGACTTTACAACCTTTAGGAAATCGGGTCCTTTATTACGATACGGACAGTATCATTTACCAACATCGGGAAGGAGCCTTTAATCCTACCTTGGGTAATAGTTTAGGAGAATGGACCGACGAATAAGATGTGCATCACATCATCAAATTCATGTCGGCTGGTCCTAAAAATTATGGTTACCGGACTGGCAAAGGAACCGAGGTTCATAAAGTCAAAGGAATCACTCTCAACTATCGTACCTCCCAGATCGTGTCCCTAGAGACTTTAGAAAAAATGCTCAAAGGAGAAATAGAGGAAGTGACAGTCCCTTATCCCAACAAAATCCAGAGGACTCGGGATCATGAGGTCGTGAGCAAACCATTAGAGAAAAAGTATAAAATTGTGTATGATTCTTTGACTGTTTAAAAAACATCATCTTTTTCCTAAGATACAATCGTTTCTTTGACTATTTTGGAAAAGAAATCTTTTTTTTAAGACACACACAAACGTTTCTTTTTTGACTGTATATGCAGGCATCTTTTCGAAACATTTGGGTAGCCCTTAAAAGGGCTGTTTGTTGTTTTGTTGTTGTTTTTTTTTTTTTGTTTTGTTTTTTTTCTTCATGATTTTGTTGTCAGGGTTGGTCCTCTAGCTCTCTAGAAGTTCCATCACAAGGTGGCCAATGTCGCCGTCTGAATCGGAATCATCCAGGCCCCCTCCAAACTCCGATCTCTGGGTCAAGGGTCTTCTTACCTCCTGTGAGTTTCTACATAAAGGGCAGGGCTGACTCCTTTCTATCAGGCGGGCTGCGCATAATATACATGCAGGCCTCTGTAAACATCTGGAGCAGATGAAATTGTTTTCCTCATTCTCAGTGAGACAGAGTGTACATAAGATCCTGGCGACGGGTACTCTAAACCCCCAAAGGGGGATCCTACCCTGATTCCGCGCCTGCGATTGTGGGTTGGGGGTAGCAGGTCTGGGCGGTGGCGGGCGTGATGAACGGGGTGCTGGTGGTGGTGATCTCTGGTACGGGTGCGCCCTCCGATGACGATTATTCATTTGGATCCGGGCCATGTTTCTTCTGCAGATCTCCCTTCCGTTATCGATTCTTCTTACTGTCAAGTGAGAATCTATGATGATACCTGGGATAAAGTATAAATCTTCATGGAATGGTCGCTGCGAAATCTTGTATGCTAACTAGAAATCAGCTACGATCAGAATGACACTGAGAGCTGGGAGGGTCTGTTTTTATAAACAATAGCAGACGATAGTCCAATATCGCGGCAAACATCGATAATCCATCATGTGATTAAAAATCCTGACCTGTGATAGGTTATCACAAAAAATCGCTTTTGGTCATGTGATCAAAAAAAGCCCCATCACAGTGACAAAGCAAAATTGAAGGGGGAAAGGCCGAACCCGAATGTATATATGACGTCATACAATAACATAACACTGATGTAGTATTACAAGATTTTATTTTATTTCTTAAAAACTAACAATGCTTCTAACTGTCGAATTCTCCTCCGAAATCGTATTCGATCCGCTACTAGGGCCATCCAGGGACTTCTCCGGTCTTCGGGGGGTAATTCGTAGATTTGATTGAGGCTGGTATTAAAAGTTACGGATTTCCTAGCCTGTGTGAAATTTCCAGGTATTTCATTCCGTATTGAATACATACTTTTTCCATCGCATCTACGTCCTGCCACAGTGAAATCACTTTAGGCGCTTGGGGATGGGTCAGGAAACTGTAAGGCTTTCCGAAATAACGGGTCAGGTTCCGTCCGTACCATATCTGGGGAGAATTGTTTTCAAATGTCGACATAGAAAATATATGGTAGCTAATCTCCCCATGGTCGTCGTATGATGTGATAAGGTTAGGCATTGTAACCATAAATCCTGAAGGATTTCCATGATAGTGCTTGCTTCCTGAAATACTTGTTCTGCCTCCGGGGGTAGAGATTCTTGGTGATTTTAAGCCCATCGTACTAAACAATCATACCCATCTAAAATCAGAGAGTGAGTGTGTATCAGGGTTGACATGATAGTCGATTGTGAAGAAAGGATCAGACTTTTCTTCTCATTTATACCCCAGTATAAAATGTAGGTAAAACGTATTTTTTTGCACACAGCCCAAGTCTTACCTGTATAGTCAGCATAAAAAAACGTAGGTCTATCGTATTTTTTGCACACGGGACCCTGACTTGAATCGCTGCCAAGTATTACCTGTGTAGTCAGCATAAAAAAAAACGTAGGTAAAACGTGCACACGCTCCGCCCCCCACAGCAGGTATATAAAGCGGAGCTGGGATTTTAAGATCATTCTTGCTTGACATTTCGAACTTGACAGACGTGAAAAAATAATATGGCAGACGCAATGATGAATACTCCAGACAACCTAAGCTATGTGACACCTCAAGGTATGTAGGAGCCCCCATGCCAGAGTCACAGGATGCAGTGGGATTAGATTTGGGCATGTATTATCTTCCAGAATATACGAATAAAGAAGATATGGGGATCTTAAATACAACTCTGGGTGGAATTGTCAACATGCTGTCTGCTCTAGACAACAAGATGAATGATATGAACAACAATGTGAGTGATCTTAACAACAAGCTGAATTATATTGGTGAGAAGGTGCGTCATCATGACAAGAAGGTGACTGATCTGAAAACTTACAACTCCAGTTAATTTTGTTTGATTCGTGCTAAATTATCCAAATAAGAAGTAAAAGTCACTAACATGCAAGAAAAAATGAGAGGAGGAGGAAGCAATTACCAGAAAGAAGAAGGACAAGGGGAATCGGGAGAAAAAAAGAAAATTAAACAGACGGACCCATGCTTCATCTGCAGAGAATTAGGGCATTGGGCCCCAGATTGCCCCAAGAAAGATATGTGTTACAAGTGCTGGAAATTTTGAAATTGGGCTAATCAGTGTAAAGAGGATGAAGAGGATCAACAATTCGTCAAAGAAATACAAAAACTGGAGAAAAAGCCTCAAGAACCCAAGATTTCAGGGACACACCAGACCAAACCTTTAATGAAAGAAGGAGACAAAAAAGAAAAAAAAAAAAAAGGCAAACAACAGAGATTCCAGGCCCCAGTACTACTCACAAGAGGAAACTATCGCTGATGACAGAAAAGGCACAGAAGAAGAAAAAGTAAATGGTTGTATTTTTTTACTTGAATAAAATTGCTGTGTTCTTTGTTATTGTGTGTTATTTGTTATTGTTTTGAGGAAATCCGGTTTGAACTGGTTAGGCTAGACTGTCTAGACTGTGAATGAAAGCGTGACGTCATAATCTTGAATCGCTGCCAAAATCGTAGTAGCAGCGTTTTGAATCGTAGTAGCAGCGTATAGAGTATAATGTAAACACAGTGTAAACACACCCCCGTATTTAGGGCCGGCTATATGTAATGAATTGATCCGGCTATCCCCCACAGGGGATGCACTCTATTGACCCGGCTATCCCCCCAGGGGCTGCACTCAGTTGACCCGGCTATCCCCCTCAGCCCCAAAAGTCAAATCACGATCAACATCAGGTGGAAATAAGAGATGACCAATTATAAATTACACAATATCATTTTTTTTTATTTTGAGACATTTCTATTATGATATAGAACTATGCATTAAAATTTACTTCCAGTGATGTCCGCATATCATTCTGTTGTTTCCCTTTGTTGTCTGCAGTATCTTTCTGTGGCTTCCTGTGTTGGATGCTTGTTCAAGTGCTAGTTCCGCGCCTTATTAGAAATCGTGTCCAACAAGACCATTTAGAAAACATAGAAAATGTTTATTCCAGTTATTCAATCGGAGACAATGATGAAGAAATTTCCCTATGAATTTGCTTGTGTAGCTATATAGTTATTTCTATAAGATCAGAACATGTTAAGATATTCAATTCCAAGAAAGCCCGGTAGCGTGCATCCTTAGATGCATCATCCCTGCAAGTTTGATCAACATAGGGCTTAAGGTAAGTCACTCGTCAGCTTTTTAGAAAAGTTCACACAGAAGCTTTTACTTCAAAACTACTTAATAAAATTCAATTTTTATAACATTTAAATTCAACAATGTAAATTTTTTAACATTCCATGAAAAAACTGCTCAAAAATCTACAAAGAAGCAAGGTTAATGAGGGACTATCTCTTTTGGTGGAAAGATATTTAGCAGAAAATTCTGCAAATCTGCACATTTATAAAATTTAATGTAATGTAAATTTAGCCTCACATACTTTTACTCGAAGAAAATTTTCCGTTTTGATATTGCTAAAAATATTTAATGTAGGTCTTCATTTATATTTTAAGACTAAGTTTTACACCTTCCCTCAAAAAAACTTTTCCAAAAAAGGAAAATATATTAAAGAAGTCAAGGTCAAAGAGTTAAGCCCACGAATGGTCAAAAAATGCCTCATCTAAAAAATTAATGGAATTTTGATAATAGATAGAATAGACTTCAAGCTTTATGGAACTGTTTTCCTTT